CATCTCCCCCTCTGTTGGCTAACGCTGCCCAGGATTTCAGGACCCTCTAAAGCATCACCTCCACCAGATAACTGGCGGAACTATAACCCCTTATATCACATCTGGCATGGCTCACTCATTTCCTGCAGAGTGGAGATCTTATCTTGTGTTCCCAGTGGCTCTGAGCACCAGACTGGGGCACAGGTGCTGACCACAGGTAACAAGGTCCAGCTGAGGGGCAAGTCCACCCTTGGCTCCAGCCTGCCAGCCTCGGGCTCTGCCACCGTCTTCACCTCAACTCAGCAGGCAGGGACTCGGTACGGACAAGTCTCCCTGCCAGAGAAGGGGCACTCCCAAGAACCATGGGCCTGGGGAGCTTCTGGCGGCGATGTGCTTACGCTGTGCCTCAGTTTCCCAAAATGAAAAGAATGCCACCCACTCTTCCTCCCTCTTTTCTGGGGGGGACTGGCAGGATCTGCTGAGATAGAGGAGCAGATCTCTTCGTCTGTGGGGCTCAGAATTTGAAGCAAAGAGACTCCATCCCTATATAATCAGCAACCCTTGTTCGGCTAGCCGGCCAGGCCCTGGGGAAGCCAAGTCACCTGCCCAGCAGCGTCCTCATGACCAAACAGGAAAGCCTCGAAGGACAGGGCTGCCACACCCTCCACCCACCTCCCTCCTTCCTGGCCCAGTTCCTCGAGGCTGGCACCTCGTGGGAAATCCTCCCTCCTTTATGCTGGGTCTGCAAGAAGGCACTCCAGCATGTAACCTCTAGGAGTTCCCAGCTTCCACAACCTCTGGGGGGCAAGCAAAAAGTCTCTCCAGTCCCATTTGACAGACAGACAGACAGACAAAAAGAGGTAAGGACAGGACCAGTAGTGATGTGGATTAAGCTCTATTCAGGTCTCATTTCTCTGTGCCCCCAGCTCTGCTCAAACCTCCATCCACTCCCCAAGGCCAAGTCTGAAGCTCCACCTGACAACATTCTAAAAGTAATTCGAAGCAGGTTATCTGCAGATTCCCCTACCTGACCTCTTGAGCTCTCCAGAGACAGATGTAGAGGGCAATGGGCAATGCTAAACCCAGAGAGTTGACATTCTAATGGCATCCCAAGCAGGGAGCTGTTTTTGCACTTGACCTCCCCAGCACCCCAAAATCACAGTCTGCATGACACCCAACTACTTGGCCTGGGCCTGGAGTCCCTCCTGGAAAAAATGGGGCATGAAGCAGAGAACCTCAGCTGCCCACTCTGAGTGAGGACCCCTTCTACCTTAGAAGGTATGACTTCTTTCCTACCTCCCCAGCCCCCAAGGCCAGGCACCTCTGGGAGTCCGGAAAAAGCCCTTGTTTGTTAAGAAGGCTTCAGCTGGTGCGGATCTGAGCGGCATGGGAGAAGTGGCAGAGTGGAGTGGTTTAAGGCACAGTTCCTGGAGCCAGGTTCCCTGGGTTCAAATCCTCACTCTGTCTCTACTGAGTTATATGACTGTGCCTCAGTCTTCCCATCTGTAAAATGGGAATAAGACCTACCTTATAGAGCTGTTAAGAGAATGAAAGGGGTTAATATTTTCAAAGTCTTTAGACGACTGCATGGCACCCAGTGAGTATACCAGGGCCCTGGCCCAGCCTCTTGTGCTCTGCTTGATTTCTCCCACCCAGGATACTCCCCTTGCTCCAAGCCTTTCCTAGGCATGTCAGCACTCCCCTCACAGTGTCCCCTTGGTCCATCACCAGTCCCTCTCTCCAGGGCCCTCCCAGAGCTGAGGTCCCCTGACTCTCAACTCTCAACTCTGAGAGCACCAGCCACACAATTTAATTCTCAGCTGGCTCCTTTGTGCAAAGAGGAGAGCTGTGGGTGGAGAGACAAGGGTCTATAGAAAAACCCCCAGCCCCAGCTTCTTCCTCCCCTTCAACTCCCTGCCCCCAGGGTTGGGCAGCCAGCAGGCACCCAAGGTATAGGCCTGAAATAAATCTCTGGCTGCCCAGACTGCCCCCATCTCCTCAGTTAGATCACACACACACACACACACACACACACACACACAGCCCTCTGCTGACCCAGCCTGGATTTCCACCAAAGAGAGCAAAGGAAATCATTGATGCCCAACCCACCACAACCCACACCAGCTCCACATCCCCCAAACCTACCTGATCCCCCTCTAGGCATACAGGCCCGCTTTTGAGCTGCCTGTACCTTCCCCACTTCCATTTCATATCCCGATTTTACAGCAATTGGCACAACTTCTTTAGTGGACAGAAAATAAAAATCCTCAGGGTCGCGTAAGGTTTAAAGGGGGGCTCTTGCAATGACTGCAATACCCACGTCTTTCTGCCTAACCCAGCCCTGACCTTCCCACCTGGCTCAAGACTTCCCAAGAGTCAGCTACATGCCAGGAACTATGCTAGATGCCCCAGACACAGCAGTGGGCCATTCCGTCAAGGTCCAGCCCTTGAGAAGCTGGACAAAGTAAACAGACAACTGCAACAAACGGTTATGGACTGCGATAAATATAATGAAAAAAGGAAACCAGATGCTATGATGAATTACAGGGGAGTAGGGAGGGGACCTCTACCAAGACTGGGAAGGCACATTAAAGTTGAGACCTAAAAAATAAGAAGGAGTAGAACCAACCCAGTAGAAAACCCTAGAAGAACATTCCCGGCAGAGAAAATGGCACAAGCAAATGCCCAGGGCAGGAACAAGCTTCTGGTGTTCAGGGGGCAGAAATGATTCAGACATGGCTATCAGGAAGAATGCAAAGGGGACGGCGGTCAGGATAAGGCTGGAGGAGGTCAATGGTGGCCAGATCATGGAGGGTCTAATCAGTACGCTTTGAAATTTTATTCCAACTGAAACAGGGAGCTATCAAGGGTTTTAGAGGAATGTGATTATCTAATCACTATTTTTCTAAATCATTCTTGTTGCTCTGTTACAATAGATTAGAGGTGGGCAAATGGGAATTTGGAGAAAGCAGAAAGCAGCTACTACAGCTTCTGGGCAAGACATAAAAGGTGGCTTGGCCTGGGTCAGTAGCCTGGGGCCATAGCAGTGAGTCTGGGCATGAAAAACAGGCCTGAGATAGATTTTGCAGAAAAAGCCAAACGGACGTGCTGTTGGACTAGATGTGGGGACGGAGGCAAAGGGAGGAGTTGGTGCCACTAGCTGTCTTTACATGTGGGTGGGTTATGGGCTGTTTCGGGAGATGGGAAGGCCCGCAGAGGGTCACATCTGGGGAGTGCCGTCAGGGTTCTGTGTCATCCATATGAAGTTTTCATATCTACGAGACATCCAGGACACCCTAAACCATCAGATGGGTGGCTAGATAGAGAAGCTGGGGCTGGTGACAAAATTTGCTACTTAAGATCATGAGAAGGAAAATGATGTACATTTAAGATCAGTGTGTTTGTAAATTAATGCTTGATTTTATAAATCATAAGAATGAGAGCTGGGAGGATAGGTAAATAGCGGGAGTCAGGACAGAGGAGGGACTGAGGACAAAGCCCTGGGATCCTCCAACATTTAGAGTTGAGTGAAGGAGTTGTCCCCAAAGACGACTAAGGAAGGGCTAGCCAGGGAAGGAGGAGGAAAACCAGAAGTCAAGAGAGGATATTGATTCTAAAGGAGAGAAGATCAATAAGACCAAGGGGGTCAAGGAAGACCTGCTTGTGGGAGCGTGGTAATCACTGGAGACCTTGACTGGGGCAGTTTCAGTGAAGTGCTAGGACTGAAGCGAAGGAATGCGCTCCAGAGAAGCAGGTGCAGACAGCTCTTTGGAGAAGTTCTGCTGTGCAGAGAACTGGAGAAGTAGGTCTGTAGGTGAGGGAAAATGAAGAATGAAGGCCAAAAAGGGGGGCTATAAGTAAGGGAAGGAGGGCATCAAGGTGTGTTCTTATCCTGTTGTGAATGATCCAGGAGAAAAGAAGCCACTTCTGACACTGCAGAGAGGGGAAGTAATCCAAGAGTGTGGGACAGGGAGCGAACCACCTTGGAGCCCAAGTGGCGGCCTGGGCCCGTGGCAGGAACTGAGATGCTTCCTCCCCCCTCACAAGAAGGAAGGGGGGGCAGAAGCGCCAGATTCTCGGCACACACTTTCAGATGCATACCTTCTCAACCCTCTATTCATGCCCACTCCAACAACCCCTGCGGCACCTGCTTGCCTGCTGCTGGCTCCAAACACCAAGTTGCCCCCCACGGACTGGCACGGGATGTGCCACCACCAGCCCGGTCTGCAAACAACCTGTGGGTACATCTGAGCGTTCGTGCCAGCCACTGCACTTACCTCACGGGGGCTCTGCCTCTTCCTAGGGCTAGCTCTGAGGGGGTCCACGCGCCCCTCACCTGCCCTACCAGAGCCCCAGCCCCCAACCCCAAGGCAGTGGCCTCTTCCTCAGCCCCTCCCCCCAAAGTGAGCACTCAGTACACCCTACCCGTTTCCCAGCCTGGCTCCCCAGTTGGCCCTTCTGAGAGAGCTGCTCCCCACCCTGCCTGCCGCCCCCCCCCCACCTCCTCGAGACCACCCGGAGAGCCGGAGGAGGGCGGGCTGCCCAGCCTCTCCCGGTGTCCCGGCCGTCGCCCCGGCGCCTTCTCTTCTCTCCCAGCGCCCACCCCCTGGACCGCCCGAGTCGCCGCGGGGCGTCGGCGCCCGGCTTTGTCTGTGCCCACCGAGCGCGCCCGCCGGGCGCCCCGGGCGCTCCCCTGCAGCACGCAGCTCCGGGGGTCCTGCCTGCCCTGCACTCCAGTGCGCTGGCCTGGCCCGCGCAGCCCCCGCCCCGGGATCACCCCACCCGGCCGGACCACCGCTTCCCCGGACGCGAGCGAAGGGGGCGCGGCGCCCTCTGCGGTCCGCGAGCCTCCCCGGCACAGCGCACCCCAGCCCTCCCGCCCGAGCGCCGCGCTGACCGCCGCAGCCCGGGGCCGCCGGAGCCCTCGGGGCCCCTCACCCTCCCGTGCCGGCCGCAGCTCCTGCCGGCGCGAGCGAGAACTGGGGGCCAGGGGCCGGGGGCCGGGAGCGGGCGCGCGGTACCTTTCCCTGCTGAGCCGGGGAAGTGAGTCTGCGGCGAGCGGCGCTCCAGCCTCGGCCTCCTCCGCCTCCCCTCCTCCTCCAGCCGCCTGGCTTCCTCCTCCAGCCGCCGCTGGGACCGTAGGGGCCCGAGCCAGCCGCCGCGGCCTGTGTGGGGCCCCGCTCCGCCTCGCGTCCCCGGCCCACCCCGCCGGGTCCGCCCGGGCCCGGCCCCCAGCTCCGCCTCGGGGCGGGGACGCGCCGAGCTCCTCCCCCGCCCGGCCCGCCGGGGGCGGGGAAGCTGGGGCAGCCGGGGCCGAGGACCGCCGGGCCCCCGCCTCCAGAGCCCCAGGCCCAGCGCTCCGCACCTGGGCCCGACACCCCCTCCTCTAGCTGGGCGCCAAACGTCCCTACTCAGCCCCAAAAGAAAAGCAGCCAGCCCAGCCCTGCCCGCCCTGTGCAGGGCGTAACTCGGGCCAAGGCTGCCTGCAAGACGACCCGCGGAGCCAGGACGCGGGCCTCAGTTTACCCGCGGAGCTCAGAACCCTGCTTTCAGAGGGAAGGGGCGCCCCTCTCTCCTCCTGGAGCTGCCTTCACTCGCGCAGACCCTACACTGGATCTCAGTTGGGATCAGAGGGCTCGTCCCGAGGGCCACCGCCAATCTCTTTCTCTTCAACACCGGTGCCTCCACTACCACCCGCCACCACCCCACCACCCGCCACCACGCCTCTGAGACCTCCGCGCCTCACTCTCCAACCCTAGACAGTAGGCGGTCGGGGCAGGGGGCTCTCAAACAGCCACAGCCCGTCCCTTCGCCGCCCACTGAGCGGAAGTGGCCTTTAAGAAAACAGCCTTCGCTGGGCGCCTGGGTGGCTCAGATGGTTAAGCGTCTGCCTTCGGCTCAGGTCATGATCCCGGAGTCCTGGGATCGAGTCCCGCATCGGGCTCCCCGCTCTGTCTCCCTCTGCCTCTCTCTCTCATGAATAAGTAAATAAAATCTTTGAAAAAAGAAAAAAAGAAAAGAAAACAGCCTTCGCTAGTGCCCACTGCCTCATCCTCGATTTAATAAAAAAAACGGAGCAAGTAGGTGTGAGGGTCAGTTTTTCTTTTCTTTTAAAAATCACAGTTATTGGGATATTATTTGCTTATTCGCTCTTTGAGATTCTGCAAGCACCGCTCTGGTCCCCCTTACAGTTTTTCATTTGTGCTCTTTTAAGGGGTGAGGTCAATTGGTCTGGTACCATTTCATTGTTTAACTCTGTGAGCATCTCCAAGGCCTCCTGGAGCTGATTAGAGACCCAGTCCAAGGGGCGGAAGCCCTGGGTGGAAGCCGGGCCTCTCCCCAGATCTGTCTTTCAGGCTGAGAAGGGTGCCTCACCTAACCTAGACCCTACAGGGGACCCAGCAGGCCCCACTGCAGAGCATAGGTCCACATGGGTGGAGGCCAGGAGAGCAGAGGTGTCCCTACAGAAATGGTGTTCGATGCTCCCCTGCAGGAGGAACCCATGTGAGTATAGGCTTCAAGGCAGGGACATGGTGAATTTTAGGTGAAGTTTCTTCTCAGCAGAAAAGTCCTTGTCATTGCCCAGGCTAGTCCCTTCACCAAGAAAACCTTTCTGCCCCCTCTTGACCAACCCCCATGTCCTCTTGGAGTTAAAGGTTAAAGGTCACACCTTCCTCTGTGAATCCTTCCCTGTCACCGAAGAAGCAGAAGGTTTCTGAGTGGGCTCTCAGATTTCCTGGGTTTGAATTCTGCGTCCACGTGGCCTCCCTGTGCTTCAGTTTCCTCACCTGTAAAATGGGATTCATAAATAATACCTATTCCAAAGAGTCATTGTACTAAATAAGAATGTTAATGTGGACTTGACGAATGATGGAAAACTACTCAGACTGGCTTGGTGTCAGCAAATAGGACATGCATACGTTCACATAAGAGAAGACGCCAATGGTCTGCCTGATCCGGGTACAAAGAGGCTTTAAAAATATCATCAAGACTTAGTCTTCCCCTCCTCGTCTCTCTTCTCTGTTCCTTGCTGTGGCAAGATGGCTGCCGGCAGCTGTGAGTCCCACGCTCACGACCCAAGTCCTCATTTCTTTCAGCTGTCCCAGCAAAAAGCCAAGGTTACACCAAGTTGGCTCTGCCTGGGTCACATATCATTGTTTGGGCCTGAATCACATGCCCAGCCCTGGAGTCGGTCCATTCCAAACCACAGGGATGCGGAGTGAGGAAGGGTGATGTCAGGGCACTGTTTACAATTAGAAGGTGAATGGCCCAGAGCTGTGTGCCAAGCACACAGAGAGTTCACAAAAAAAAAAAAAAAAAAAAAATATATATATATATATATATATATATATATATATATATATATATATATATATATATATATATATATTGGCCTTTGTTGAGAGCCTTCATCATATTTCAGGGGTGCCCAGTACCTTTTGAACATCCTTCTGTGTTTGGGGAACTTTGCATGTCACGAATCCTGCACCCCCTCCTCCAAAGCCAAAAATGCTCTTTCCCAGTCTCCTCTGCAGCGGGGTGCCAGCTTCACCCGGGCCCTGCAACCAGATGAACCACGGGAGATTTTTCTGTGGAAGTGAGCACCGTGAGAAAACAGGCGGCACCCAGAATCCATTGGGGAGGATGGTAGCAAGGACGGCACCGGAGGCAACTGGCTGTACGGACAACTGTGACAGAGGTGCTAGAAGGCTTGCCAAAGTTCGTTTCAGTTGCCTCTTGCTGCCTGACAAACCACCCTCATAACCTAGTGGCTTAAAACAACAGTTCCTTATTTCTCAATTCTTTGGGTTTACCGGGCTCAGCTAGACAGTTCTTCTGCTTCATGTGCTGTTGATTAGGAACATCAGCTGGAAGCTTGGCTGGGTCTGGAACAATCCAAATGGTTTCTCTCTCCATGGGACCTCTCCTGCAGAATGGCCTGGACTTCCTTACAACACAGCAGCCTGGCTTCTCTCTGGGGTGAAATGGAAGCAGCTTCCATTTGGAAGCAGCATCACCATGTGGTGAGGATTAAAAAGCACAAAGGATATAAAAATTGATGACCTAGGCCCAGAAGGGCCATTTCATTACTTCTACGTCATTCTGTTGGCTAAAGAAACTCACAAAGCCAGCCCAGATTCAAGGGGAGGATAAATGGACTCCACCTCTTGATACAAAAGGTGCAGTGTTGTATTAGTTTGCTAGGACTTCTGCGACAAAGTCCCACAAAGTAGATGGCTTAATCAACAGAAATTCATCGTCTCACAGTTCTGGAGGCTGTAAGTTCAAGATCAAGGTCAGCAGGGTTGGTTCCTTCAACCAGCAGAATCTGTTCCATTGCTGACTCCTGGTTTCTGGTGTTTTGCTGGCAATCTGTGGTGGTCATTGGCTTACAGATCCATCACCCTAATCTCTGTCCTCATCCCTTCATCTTCACACAAGTTCCCCCTAGTTGCCTGTCCCTGTTCTGTGTCCAAATTTCCCCTCCTTACAAGGACACCAGTGAATTAAGACTCATCCTAATAGCTTCATTTTTACTTGATTACCTCTGTAAAGACACGATCTCCAAATAAGTTCATGTTCTGAGGTACTGGGGATTAGAACTCCAACATACCCAATATATCTATCGGGGAGACATAATTCAACCTGTAGCAAATGAGCATACAGGAATGGAAGGATTCCTTGGTAGCCATATTACAGCAGAAGCCCCAAGGAATACCTCTCTCTTACCTTTGAGAATGGATTTCTGGGGTACATGGTTTCAATTAGGGTCTGGAATTTTAAATGCTCCTTACAAATAATTCCACCATCACCAGCAACCTTGGGTATAACCCGTTTTCCTATCCCCCCGCCCCTCCCCGACCAAGGGCATCTTTGGAGCCTGATTGGCGCAAAGTGGATTGGAGCTAAGAAGGTTCCTCATTGTTTCCTCCCAGAACAACGAGGGGAAGGAGGTCAGGCGTAGGCACCTGACCAGCTGTGAGGCCTTGAGCAAGTTAGGCAAACTCCCTTTTGTAGTCCTTCAAATGAGGGTAATGTTAGGAGCCTGTCACTCAGGTTTGTGGTGAGGATTAAAAAGAACAAAGGATATAAAAATTGATGTCCAAGTCATCAGAGCCCCCTTCCAGATGTTATTAGCATCAGTCTGCCACATCCATACAGCGGATTTAGACTCTGCTTTGTGTTGAAACATTAGTAAAGCATTGACCACAGTCAGACTTCACATGTGTGGCACAATTTAGAGTTTACAAAGCACTTCCACACCCACCACCACAGGGAGAGGTCAGAGTAACAAAGAAGGGCTTTAGGAAGTGTATAAATTATTAAGTAATGCTGGCTTCTATAAGGAAGAGACCCAAGAATACAGTGGTTCAAACATAATAGAAATTCATATCTTACCTACACAATAAAGAGGTATTCCCATTTCATAATGGCTTTCCTCCACATTGTGATTCAGGGATCAAGGCTCATCCCAGTATGTGCCTCCAGCAACCATCAGGGTCTTGCAGTCATCTGCACAAAGCCAGCAGCAGAAGAAAGCCTTAGCCTGAAAACTGACATTACTTCTACTCACACACCATTGGCCAAAACCATTCGCATGGTCGCACCTAACCACAAGGGAGGCTGGGAATTACGCTCTAGCTGGGAATCCAGGAAGGGTAGGAAAGTGATTTTCGGTGAACGGCCAGCAGTCTCTGCTATGAGGGAGCTTTCTAAAGTTCTAGAAGGGATGGGTCATGGATCCCCAAGGAAGCATCATTCCGGGATGGAGAATATAGTGAGTTGGCTTACTGGCCACAATTCTTCACTTCCCTGTGTAGTATTTTGCATCCATATTCTTGTCACAACTCAGGTGGGGTGTATTTTCCCACCCACTGATGTCAGGCTTGAATGAAATAAAGTAGAAGTGGTAGTGTGTCTGTCTGGAGCCTCAGCTCGAAGAATTCCTGCATGTTTCCATTTCCTTGCAGTGCTTTCTCCAGCTCCATTAGAAACGTTCCCCTGGATAGCTACTGCCCTTCAGCCCGGGACTGCAGAATGAACACGAGAACAGCAGACCAGCGCTCACTCAACCCAGAGCCAAGAGCCAAACTCACCCGGACCGTATCTTGAAGCACCTAGCTGATCCAAGCCTAGGTCAGTGAATGCCCAGCCAACTTGTAGATGCATGAGGTCAGCAGCGTCATCCCAGGCAACACACACATACCCATGAGA